GCCAGCATCAGCTGACCCAGAGCCTAAAACCTTGGATCTGAATCAACGCCGTCTGATAGATGCTTATTGGGAGATTCTGAAGCATGTTAGACTTAGTGGTGTAAGCACAAAAGACAAGTGTAAAGTGTTCAGTAAGTGGAGGTGTGTGTAATCTCTGGCCTATTTTATATCTCCTTTTATATCCTTATTACAAAGAGTTTGTAATAAGGATATAAAACTGTCTTTGGAGAATGGTAAAGCTGGGAGTCTAATGAAAACAAACAAAAAGAGCTGCATGGCTTTCATTTTATTTATTTATTTTAAAGAAATGGGCCCCTAGATATATGTAATCAGGACTTTTTACAGGTGAAAACTTAATGTGTCGATGATCTTTGCTAGACATGCTAAGCAGGAGAAATGTTCTTGGTACTATATCTGTGATGTGTACATATTAGCAGAGAACTCTGAATACGCACATTTCAGTCATTTAACGGTTTCAGGTTAGCATGATTGGATTGAGGATTTAAAGATCAGTGATGTTCCTTCTACCCAAGTGGTTGGTTTATAGCTTTGGACAGTACTGTGTTATCTGAGGGGGTTTCAAAATTCTGACAGCATGAGTTTTAATCTATAAGTAAGAACCAAATTAACTACAGTTTGGGAATATTTGGCATGTTTTAACAGACATGGATGCATCTGTGTGGACTTTCTGCTTCTTGAAAGTAGAGTCCGACTGATCCAGGATTTTTAAGAGAAGTACTGATATTTGGGGATTTAAAAATCTGATACAGACCAATCAGACATTTGTTATGTGTAGTTACTCTGCTCAGATCAGCTGGTTGTTTGTCTCATCACCAACTCTTACAAAGTGCCTTCTAATGAACAAACTCATAACACAGTTGAAGGTCGCTTCTCCCATTTCTTCCCATTTCCATTTATTGGCAGTTATAAATGCAAACACCAGCAGATCAGTAAATAGCGCACACTGGCTGCCTGAAAACTTCTGTGTGAAGAGTGTAACACTTTAAATTGCCAGTTTGCCAACATCTCTGCTCAGTACACTTATCGGTTTGTTTCCCTCGCTCTGTTTAACCTTTCTCAGTTTAATACACATACAGTTAAACAGAATTTTAAGTATAGACTGCTGTAAAAGCTTTAGTGTGTCTATCGTCCATGTAACATGCATATGAAATCCGGTCATGTAAAAAAAAAAAAAGAAAAAAAAAAAGCAGTGTTAGGAGCTGTCAGGCCTTAAATGTGCAACAGTGTAGTTTACTGCTGCAAAAAACAAACAACTTCTATAATAAACTTCATAATAAACATTGTGAACTACCGGTACATTCATGAGTATTCCATCGAGCTCAGAAGAACTGAAATAGTCAGAACTCTGTTGAACAAAGTCATGATCCAGTCTTTAAATTATAGAATAGAATAGAATAGAATAGAATAATCCTTTAATTGTCCCACAAGGGGAAATTTGGTTGTAACAGCAGCCAAAAAGACAGATATACAAACAAACAGTGCACAGGACATGGAACAGAAACATACACAATTTTTACATATTTACATCAAGGACAGTGGTTACTATATACAGAG